AATACAATAGTATGCGTTTTGTATGTGATCCAGATTGGAGGGGGCATCTAAGAGGGGAGGGGATGGACAAAGAAGCTCACAAGGCAAAAGCCATTGGGGCCGGCTCTTCGCTATATCAGCAAGTGTGTCCAACCAAACGTGTTCATCCTCCTTAGGACCCAAGTCAAGCAATTGTGACACACCAACCGAGGCCAGTTTCGAAGTGAAGGTTTTCATTTCTCTCGACCAAATCATCGCTTAGCCTCCCCTCCTCCTCTTCCAACCGCACCCCCGGCCCGCAAACAATACATGTCGCGGGATTCGGTGTGCTGGCATGCAAAATACGTGGCCCAGCCATGGAGCCTGGTGCGTGATATAACGGTGCCGAGCGGTTCACTCGTTCTTCCTGCACTAAATACGCAACGCTGAACACGCTCATTGCTCATGCGATGCTCCCACCAGACATGAGCTAAGCTGCGGACGCAGCGATGATTGAATGTGACCAGCTTCTTTATATCTGTCGATCTGATGGGCCAGGTTTCACAACTGTATAGGAGAGTTGAACGGACGGATGCATTATAAACTCTGCCCTTCGGAGCGAGGGTCATGTCGCGTCTGCGCCACAGGTGCTGGGGACTGGCAAAAGCACCTCGAACTTTTTCTATACGGTTCATAATCTCAGCTTTCATCTCACGGGCGCTAATATAGCCGCCCAGATACTTGAATTCCTGAACGACTTCTAGCTGATCAGCACCAACAATCAATGCAGGGGTGGGAAACTGCTAATCTTGGAGGAGTTTGCATTTCGATGGAGCAAAGCATAGTGCAAAACGATTGACAGCCAGTGCTATTCGTTCCAGTGCTGCTTGGCACGTTTGGGAGTTGTCATAGATTAGGGAAATATCGTCCGCATACTCTAAATCAAAAAATCTGTCGCCAGGAAGTAGCTCCATACCTTCTAGGTTGTGTCCAGCGAATGCTGTTTCCATGACTTCGTCAACTGCGAAGTTAAAAAGGAAAGGTGACAGCGGGCAACCTTGTCTCACACCGCTGGAGATACTGAAGGGCGGCGACAGTTTGCCATAAACCCTCAGTCCGCCCGAACTATGCGCCTGCATCGTTTTGATAATGTTTACATATTTATCGGGCACATCTTTCGTCAGCAGACAGTCCCAAAGGGCACATTGATCCACGGAATCGAAGGCACCTTTGATGTCGAGAAATACGACAACGGTGCTCCGACATGGCCGTACTCCAACAATTCTGGCAAGAAGAAGATGTGAGCAATGCAGCCCTGACCTCGATGAAATCTGGCTAGATATCTAAGAATCGGACATTCACGAGTACAAGTAAGTCTGTGGAGAACGACAGACGCAAACGATTTAGAGGCAATTGAGATCAGACTGATCACTCTATGGTTATCGCATTTCGAACGGGAGCCTCCTTTGAAAATTGGGACTATGACGGAGTGGCTCCAGTCTGTCGGGACAGTCTCCTGCACGCACAGTTGCACTCATCATTATCATCATCAACAGCAGTACATCAGCCATTTGAACTGATGCTTCGCTGCCATACAACCATGAGGACCTATGAAATAAAGAATAAGAAGAGGGAGAGAAGGGGGACTTACCTGAAAACCTTAATGCCCCAAGCAAACATTCAGGGTCAAGAAGCCTACACCTTGTGTAGACAACATACCGTCACAAACAGCTGGCTATCATGCAAATATAAGGCGGTATCGGCGAGACAGCTTCCTTGCGGCTTTCACCGTCACGCGTCATAATCAGCCATTATCCCGCAGATAACTCAGCACCAAACATACTTTAAACAGGCAATCCGATTAGGAGACGGCAGCGGACGCGCCACTGGTGTCGGTTGCGAGCCATGTCTCGAGCCAAGCACAAGGCGAGTCACGTGGACTCCAACCCGGAAGACGAGACGGACCAACGGCACCCAGTTTAGTTGTCAGTGACTTCATGTCCCGCTGCCAAGTCAACTTCTGTCCACCTCGAGCCTTGCGCCATCCTACACCTGCTAGACTGAACAAGGTTCTCCTAGGTAAGCGGTGACCAAGCATGCGTAGCACGTGCCCGAGCCAACGCAACTTATTCAGTGCTATCTGTTGTTCTAGGGAGCTAGCATGATTATCACCACCTAGTACTCGCCTACGCACATCATCGTTGCGGATACGCTGGTGCCATCCGACACCAGCAATGCTTCGCAAACATCGATGATCGAAAACTTGAGGGCGCCTCAGATCTTCAGACCGAAGGGGCCAAGTCTCACTACCATACAGCAGAACGGCCCTCACTGTGGCCTTGTATATACGGCCTTTCAGACGGAGGGAAACTACCTGTCGCCAAAGATGACGCAGGTTCAAGAAGGCAGGTCTGGCCTTTGCAATGCGTGAGCTCACATCAGTTTCTATGCGCCCATCATTGCTGATGCAGCTGCCAAGATAAGTGAAATGATCAACCACCTCGAGTTCCTCGTTAGCAAGCGTCAAGGGGTCATCGAGTGGCTGGTGGTCCTGCAGGAACACTTTGCATTTTGAAGGTGCGAAGTGCATACTAAATAATGGGACCACTCTGGATAGGTTATTCAGGGTTGATTGTGCCGCCTCAACATTGTCGAAAGCAGTTTCATTAACAACTCGTGAAGTCATCTACTGGAGCAGGTTCCCCGAATTTGAAGAGGGCTGGGGCAATTCTATCTGCCTCTGCGGCCTTAGGTAATTTCAACAACCTGATCTCACGTTCCACTGCGTGTGAGAGCGGATCCAAGGAGATGGTCCAGGAAGAAGGGCGCTCAATGCCCGAAAGAGAAAGCGACAACAGATTGATTAAACTGCTTTGCAGTGTTCGGTACTATGATCCAAGCGTTTTGACAGGTTGTGGATCGACTGTGCAGTCAAGTCGCATATGGTCTTGCTAACACCAGGTCTCCTGCTACCTATTCCCAGTATCAAATAACTTACAAGGATTACCGACGGCAGCGGCTGTTTCCATCTCCGAGGCAAGAAGAGACTACCAGGCTTCGCGGTCTCTCTTTAAGCTATCACGCGGTATTGTTCTGAGATTTTTACGAGTCGCATTGTATTCGCTTTCAGCCGGAATACGTCGGCGAGCATCCAGATACTACATAGAAACCTAATGTCCAGGATGGAAATTTGATTTATCCCATGAAGACATGCCTGCCGATAGTGACGTTTGCCGAAAATGCGACCAAGGATCTTTAACCGTGTACAGTGGGCTCTTACTCAGCCTAAATACCAGCGTAGTTTGATACGCATTCAAAACACCTGACTTCGCCAACCGGCTAATGTCAATCCGTTCACACTGACGTTGCGGACCTCCAACGAAACGCACCCGAAGGTCGGCGCAAACAAGCGTATGATCGGAGTCAACATGCATGCTCCAGATTGAGCGACAGTTTTGGATGCAGCCTCTCCAGCGGTAACTGATCACGATGTGATCGATTTGCGTCCACGACTGGTCCAAAGATGGTGGCGCCAGGTCACACTTTTGCGGATGCTGGGTCGAAAGATAGTGCTTGCGAGAGAGAGACGATGACCCTCACACAGAAATAACAACCGCTTATTGTTATCATTGCGAGAGCCCAGACTATGTTTGCTGCAAGATTAAGCTCAGCAGAGGACAAATTTCCAACTTGGGCGTTTAGATAAAATGTAAGCACCGCAGTATCCGTAGTCTTACTGTGAGGAAGGAAATCGGTAAGTTGGTGATAGAAATTATCTTTCACCGAATCAGTGCTGTACTTTGTTCACGCGTAGGCCGCAATGGTAAAACGGGACCATTTGTCCCCGCGACTTCGAAGCACAGCATGAACCAGCTAATCTAACGGCGCACATCCGACTGTCGACTGGGATCCAATCGATCAGGGCAGCTTCAACCCGGAAACTCAAAACAATGTCGACGCCAGGTTGACCAGCATTTGGAGCTGCGTCATCGCCAGACAGGCGCAATGAGAATGTGTAGCCAGTGTCGCATGTGGGGAATCGCAAGGTAAGCACGCAGCTTGCATCTTGCAGGCGGGTTTCTGATAAACAGCAAATATCGATCGATAGAGTCTCTAGTGTGCGGGTAAGTGTTGTTTATTGGCCAAACCTTAGCAAAGTGCGCACCTCGAGGTATGCCAAAAACACAGCGGGGATGGAGAACGCCAAAGCGAACGAGAGGGACTAGTCGTCCGCTTGGTTGAACATGGACTTGCTGACTGGCTTCGAGCGATGCCCTGCGACTGTGTGTGCGTTGAAACTAAAAGACAAGCGACTATTGAAGCAAGGTGGAGGAGGGCCAAGAATTGGGGGATTGAAAATGGCGGGGGGATAAAAGTGAAGTTGAGGCGGGACGATAAGGATGAAAAAGCGCAAGAACGGGAATAAGAAGACGGGAAGATCTGAGCAGTAGCATGCAATCCGTTATCCACCCTGCTCGAGACAGCAGATAAGGCGCCGTTGATTGTCCTCTGCGACGGCCAGAGCATCAGGAAATTGTTAGAAGAAAGATTCATTGTCTGTTACTGTATTATCTCTGGGGTGATGGCCGATTAGAACGCGGGACAGTGAAGGAAGCAAGAAGGCGGTTTCGCCGACACTACTTTATCTTCGCATAGTGGCCAACCATGTTTTTGATCCTGAATGTTTGCTTGCGGTAGTTAGGTTTTGTACTATGCTTCCTTCTTTTCCTCTTAGTGTTCCTCACTCCATAGGTAAAGTAGTGATGCGGCAGTGGAAAATCAGTGCGAGCCGCTTACGCCGTGTTGATGTCTTTAATGATGATGATGTATGTAATCCCTACCCATTAGGTAGGAGTAGCTGATGAGTAGCGAGAGATTCGAGTCTGCTGCCACTGGAAGCACTTCGACGAATTCAAGCAGGACGTAACGCGCAATATCAAAATGATGTTAGCGCCGAAACACTAGCGGTAAATAGCTCGACTTAATAGACAGCAAATAAAATAAGTGTGGGAAGAAGTGACATAATTCACACCAAAGCTAACCTGTTGAATGCCTTTCGGATAGGAGCAAACCGCATGGAATCCGACTGAACAGGTGTAGGACCAGGTTGGAAGGATATTTTACTTGTGGAGTTTGAAATAACAGAGGACTCCATTGCGCGTTGGGTACCAATGCCATGCGGTCCACCTTGCGTCGAACGCCAACGTGGGTACTAGTGTGTGTGTGTGTGTGTATAAAGGTGAGCAAACAGTATAAGCAAGGAGAAGGGAAAGTGGTGATCTTAATCGTTATCGTCATCAGCGACAACAATAGTACATTAGCCATCTAAACCGGTGCTTCGCTGCAGCAAATACAATAACCTGAGAAACGAAAAATAATAGGAGTGAAAAGCGCGACATAGCGTAAAATATTGATGGCTTAAGGAAACATTCAGGATCAAAGCGCCTACACCTTGTCAACAACATGACGTCATAAGCGACTGGCTATTGTGCAAAAACAAAGTGGTATCTACGAGACGGTTTCCTCCGGGCATACGGAGGACATGACCTAGCCAACGTAACCGATTAAGATTCCGCAAACACTCGAATGAGGCACTAGAAGGTTTCTTGCTAAAATTCAACTGGCGGACCTCAGCATTTCTCACCGGGGGACAAATACCCCGCAAGTACCGGTGGTCAAACACGCTTAAGCGTTTAATATCTTCACTGCGAAACTGGCCATGATGGAGTTGACGAGGAACCTGAACAAAAGTGGGGGAAGCAAACAAACCTGATGAACGACACTTGTTTTCGGGAAGATATCCAACAGTTCACCGCTGATCCTGACCCAGCCTGTGGTGTTCGTGTGCACAGTGAGTAAAATGTTTACATATTCTATGGTCATAACATTTCGCAGTTTTTCTATCAGAATGAATCGATTCTCTGGGCCGAACGCACTGCTGAAGTCCGGTTCGAGTGACGTCAGAACACCCGCTGGTGAGTGAATATGTGGTCTATACATCATGTGCGGAAACCTGCCTTATCTTCTCTTGTCTGGGATTCCCATTCCACAGTGAACTGTGTTCTTACATCCTCTCTAAACACACCCAAAGTTGCAAAATGTTCTCGACTTGTGAGGAATTTGCTTCTTGGATCAAAAACATGATTCCTTGAAAGAAAGCGGTCTTGTGCAACCGTTGGATCAGTTCGCTCCTCTTCATCCTAAAAAGCATCTAAACAAGCCACAATGGCGGAGCAGAACCGATACAGCGATTAAACGAGGCAATGCTAAGTAGAAAATTTCCACAAGTCCCGAGGTTTTTGATCTTTACTGCAGTACGAAAAAAGTAGAAACTAAGCCATTAAATTGCAACGTCAAGCCAAATAGTCACATGAGCTGAGGCTAGCGCAGATAGTAAAAACGAATCCCAAGTGTTACTATGGTTATGTTCAGTCGAAAGTTTCCCTAAGGGTGGTTGGTTGTCTGACTACGGAGGATGGTAATCAGGCTGTAGAAGACGTCGATAAAGTGGAAGTGCTGCAGCGTATCACCCAGAATTTACACCACAGCGACAATGGGTATAGCATGCCATCACAATTACACTGCTCAAATGCACATACAATGCCAGACATCGCACGCACTGTCCCGGAGGTATTCACAGTATTGACTAACTTGAAACCCTATAATTCAGCTGGTTCTGACAATGTACATTCCGCCATCGTGAAGCCACTAGCGGAGATTCTCCAGCATCCAGTTACGGAATGGTACAATATGTCACTTCAGGAAGACAAGCTACCACGAGACTGGAAGGAAGCGATCATAGTTGCAATCCACAAGGGAGGTCTAAATCGGCTCCCCTCAACTATACGCTTGTAAGTTTGACCAGCGTCTTGCTTAAATGTTTGGAGAAACTCATAAGGAACCGGATTTGTAAGCACTTGGCCGAGCACAACCTAATTAGAGCCACACAGTATGGTTTCATCAGGAAGAAGTCGCACTTCACAAACTTTTTGTGCTTTCTGGATGAGATTTCTCAATGTTTCGATAGTGGTGTGTCGGTAGAAGTGTGTTATCTGGACTTTAGTAAGGCTTTTGACTCAGTGAACCATTGAATCTTACTCGAGAAATTAACGTGGTTTGGGATGCACCCCAAACTGGTTTTAGTTTTAACGTGTAAGAAGTTTTTGTGTCAAAACCGGTGATGGGAGCTCGTGTGGGCAGGGCTTGTAGTAGCGTCCCCCAAGGCTCGGTACTGGGACCTCTGTTATTCCTGATGTTTATTAATGATCTGGTATCTCTGAATGAAAACCCCCGCTACATTTTTGCTGATGACCTGAAGTTGGTCAGCGGGGGTGATCGTGAAGCCCTTTCTAAGGACAAAGCCACGGTAGTCAATTGGTCGAATCAATGGGACTTATCCCTCAATACTAATAAATGTCAGTTATTGACTGTTAAGAATGATGAACTTACAGTCCAGACTTCCTCGGGGTCCTTGACACTGCAGGCTACTAGCCAAGCACGTGATCTTGGAATTAACATGGTAAACAATTTCAAATGCTCCGCATAGTGTCGCTATGCTGCCAACAAGGCGCGACGGGAGCTATTTCGTCTCATGCGAACGTTGTGTAACAAACCAGAAGTTTTCCTTCCGTTGTATAAAGCAGTGGTTAGACCACATCTAGAGTAGTGTTCAGGCTTGAACGCCTTAGTTACGTAGCGACTCCATTTGCACAGAAAAAAACCCAAAAACTGGCGACTAAAAGGATCGAAGGTCGGCGTGAAAAAACATATGATGACTGTTTAAGAAACTTAGGGTTGTTTTCTATCGACACAGACTGAGAGGTGACCTTATTAAAAGGTTCAACAGGTTGAGGGGTCTCAGTGGGATTAATCCTACAGATTTGTTTCAGCTGGCTACGTCTGACCATTTGCGTGGATATCAGCTTAAGCTCACACAGCAGAGGTCTCGGCTGGACATAAGGGGGAAATGTTTCACAAATCGTGTCCTGAGCACCTGGAATAGGCTTCCTTTTAATGTAATGGAATGTGAAACTGTAGGAGCCTACAAACGTGGCTTAGATGAAAGTTAGCCAGATTTCTTTCCGAATTACTGTAATTTTACTAAAAGGATAGGCAATCAGTGAGGCACTACTGATTGTGGTAAACCGGCTGGTATCGTGCTCCAAAAGCAACTGTGGCAGTCTATCAGATTGCCTTAACGTGGTGCGACGGTTTGCGTACCTCAATGATCCATTGAGCTATACTGGGTGATGCCTCCGAGCATCTTGAGAGCTACCCCTACCAGGTTGGTCAATGGTGAGAAGTCAGACAAACTCAGTCTCCTGTTCGATCGTACAGTACTGTGGCAGTGCCTTCTGAGGAACGGTGTCCCCGAGAAGTTCGTCTCCATACTGCGCGCTCTATACAGTCTGACCTCGCGCAGGGTTAGGGCTTATGGCAAGCTTTCGCCTACCTTTGTGGTCTCCAGTGGAGTTCGACAAGGATGCCCTATCTCTCCGTTCCTATTCAACTTTGCCATTGAGGATGTCCTGAAGAACGCTCTGAGCGATTCGTTGAACGCTGGCGTTGAGCTCCTCCCAGGTAGTCGAGTTGTTGATTTGGATTATGCTGATGATATCGTCTTGCTGGGTGACGATCCACAGGTCGTCCAACTTGCATTAAACCGCTTGACGATTGAAGCATCAAAGTACGGTATGTGCTTTTCGCCATCCAAATGCAAGGCTCTCCTTCAAGACTGGCAGGTGCCTCTGCCTGCACTCACGCTTGCTGGTGAGACACTGGAGGTTGTGGAGAGCTTTGTCTACTTGGGAAGTTGCATCACTGCTGGCGGGGCTGTTGGAGACGAGATTTCGATGCGCATCTCGAAAGCACGACTCGATTTTTCTAGGCTGAGGCATTTGTGGCGTCGCCACGACATTCGTCTCTCCATCAAAGGGCGGGTCTATTGTGCAACTGTTCATGCTGTACTGTTGTACGGATGCGAGACTTGGCCCATTCGTAAAGATGACTTGCGCAGGCTATCCGTCTTCGAGCACCGCTGTCTGCGATCCATTGCCCGTGTGTGGTGGCAGCACCACGTAAGCAATGTGGAAGTTAGACAGCGTGTCTTGGGACGTGGAAGTCACTCGCTCGAGGAGTTCATCTCACTGCATCAACTGCGGTGGTTGGGACACGTATTGCGCATGCCTGTCCAGCGTTACCCCCGTCGTGCATTGTTTGCACTTGCTGGACAGGGCTGGAAGAGACGGTCTGGTGGACAGCCTACAACATGGAGAAGCCGCATGAAAAAGTTGACGAAACAATTGGCCTCGGCCGGTTGTTGTCGACTACCTGGTTGGGGTCCGAGAGACGAGGATACTTGCTGGTTGAAAACCTTGGAAGTTATGGCTCAAGATCGATGTCAATGGCGGACGTGTGCATCAGTGTGTTGCGGTGTCCCTTCCTCCTCCCCCTAAAAAAGAACAAACTGAAAAAATTTTCAAAAACTGTGAGTGGTAAACTTGACAAAAAAAAGCATTTCTTGTTGCTCTTTTCTTATTATTCATATTGTTTTCCTATTCAGCCATGATTCCGATGGCACAATATCTGTACCACAGATTGTGTATAAGATATATATATATATATATATATATATATATATATATATATCCTCCAGGTTAGGGGTTTGAAATGGGATGGCGTCCATTTCTGTAAAATTAAATCACTGCCACCCCGCTGCCTTGCGGACAGGCTTTTGAGCCAAAGGCTTTGGATGAGGACCCTAATCGTCCTCCTGTCTAGGTCTGGGCGCCCTGGCAGTATCTCAGCCCACATACAACCATGACATTTTCTTCAAACATAAACTTCATCCTGCATCGGCCGTCGCGCAGATTATCAGGGGTCGCCTTATCTGCTGCATACAGCAGGGCGGATAAGCGAAAACATGCTATTACTGGCGCCTCCCTTCTTTCTTTTCCACCTTTTACTCCCATCCCGGCCCCCATTACTAACCTTCCTTCTATAATTCCCAGCTTAATTGACAGCAACCGAAGTGCTACTGGAGTAGAACCATCTGCAGCCACCATCCCACAGCACCTATCGGACGCCTATCGGCAAAAATCCCTTATAAGGCCACGCTGTCCCATTTCCATGGCGACATTCAACGTCCGCACTCTAAGACACACAGGTTAACAGGCTGCAGTCGCACGCACCTTGGACACACTGGGTGTTGAT